TCCAATTTAGCCCTCCACTTTTAGTGTCTGATTTAGTCCTCCACTTTTAGCATCCAATTTAGTCCTCCACTTTTAGCATCCAATTTAGCCCTCCACTTTTAGTGTCTGATTTAGTCCTTCACTTTTAGGATCCAATTTAGCCCTACACTTTTAGTGTCTGATTTAGTCCTCCACTTTTAGCATCCAATTTAGCCCTCCACTTTTAGTGTCTGATTTAGTCCTTCACTTTTAGCATCTGATTTAGCACCTCAACATTTTCATTCTTATTATAAAAAATAATCATGAAAACAAATTTTTTTATTTGTAAATTTATAAAGCTGTCTGTTGACAAGAGAATAAAAAAATTTAAATAAACTCATAATGGCACATCTGAGAGATAGCTCTCTTCCAACAGCATGGCTGATGCTAATCTCCAGGGTAGTGACTCGTTTCACCTTCTCAGGCTAACTTTCTCAGCTGAAATGAAGTGGGAAGACTATATTGAATCCATTGCTAGGTCAGCTGCTAAGAAAGTTGGTTTACTGTATCATGTGAGACAATTTTTCTCTTCAGAATCTATCTTGCATATCTATAAGTCTACCATTCATCCATGCTTTGAATATTGCTGTCACACATAGTCTGGTGCCCCTGCTATTTACCTTGAGCTCCTTGATAAAATTCAAAGAAGAATCAGCAATATTATTAGTCTTGATCTGATGACTTGGTTTCAGTCACATTCCAACTGCCATAAAAATGCTTCCCTGTTCCTTTTCTATGAATACTTTCATGGCAATTGTACAGGTGAGCTCATCACTATGGTATCTAGCCTTTATGAATTTAAGTGCAGTACTAGATTGGCAGTTAGGTCCCAACAATTCACAGTTGAATTGGCTAGATATAACTGTAAATTCTATGCTAAGAGTTTCTTTTCTTGCACTTCTTGCTTGTAAAACTCTCTTCTGGCTCCAGGCTCTAAAGCCAACTTTAATCTGCAAAAATTTAAGTGCAATGTCAATCATTATCTACTGTCTTCCTGATCACTCTTCTATTGTTCTCATTATAATTATTGTTTCCTAATTCTTTCACATTTAGTAACCCCTTAGGTTTTAGTGGCTTTATTATCTCCGATGGGGTTAATTCAATTAAAAAAAGAATAAAAAAACAAAAAACAAACTGTAATCATTAATTTAGAAAAAAATGGCATTTTCTAGACATGTCCTTCATTTGCTCTCACCTTATAAATTCACTAAAATAAGTTAAGGGCATCTGAAGTTATGCATTATTTTAATTGAGAATTGACAACACAAATGTTAAAGATATTTATTTATTAGATTGTTTATAAAAATAATTTAGCTAAGTCTAATAAACATGCCTGCAAAAAGAGAGCAAATACAGTAAAAGCAATGCCAAGAGAAAAAAAATGACCTTTTGACATAGCACTTTTTTTGTAGGTATGTTTATTCAACTTTGCCAAGAAAACATTTATGAGTTAAACATAGTGGGAGTAATGTCCACATGGTTGGGTTGAAAGTAAGTAATCAGTTTACTGGAGTAAAGAATTTTTGGTCACCCATATTTCATCTGTTCCAATGAAACACTTATAAAATTAAGTAGGCTTTCGTAACATATGGGGAAGGAATGATCAAAACATTGTGTTACATGTTTTGGCATTTTGGTCACCCATATTTTATCTGTTCCAATGAAACACTTATAAAATTAAGTAGGCTTTCATAACATATGGGAAGGAATGATCAAAAACATTGTGTTACATGTTTTGGCATTTTTGGTCACCCATATTTTATCTGTTCCAATGAAACACTTATAAAATTAAGTAGGCTTTCATAACATATGGGGAAGGAATGATCAAAACATTGTGTTACATGTTTTGGCATTTTTGGTCACCCATATTTTATCTGTTCCAATGAAACACTTATAAAATTAAGTAGGCTTTCATAACATATGGGGAAGGAATGATCAAAATACTGTATTACATGTTTTGGCATTTTTGGTCACCCATATTTTATCTGTTCCAATGAAACACTTATAAAATTAAGTAGGCTTTCATAACATATGGGGAAGGAATGATCAAAACATTGTGTTACATGTTTTGGCATTTTTGGTCACCCATATTTTATCTGTTCCAATGAAACACTTATAAAATTAAGTAGGCTTTCATAACATATGGGAAGGAATGATCAAAACATTGTGTTACATGTTTTGGCATTTTTTGGTCACCCATATTTTATCTGTTCCAATGAAACACTTATAAAATTAAGTAGGCTTTCATAACATATGGGGAAGGAATGATCAAAACATTGTGTTACATGTTTTGGCATTTTTGGTCACCCATATTTTATCTGTTCCAATGAAACACTTATAAAATTAAGTAGGCTTTCATAACATATGGGAAGGAATGATCAAAACATTGTGTTTCATGTTTTGGCATTTTTGGTCACCCATATTTTTTATCTGTTCCAATGAAACACTTATAAAATTAAGTAGGCTTTCATAACATATGGGGAAGGAATGATCAAAACATTGTGTTACATGTTTTGGCATTTTTGGTCACCCATATTTTATCTGTTCAATGAAACACTTATAAAATTAGGTAGGCTTTCATAACATATGGGGAAGGAATGATCAAAACATTGTGTTACATGTTTTGGCATTTTTGGTCACCCATATTTTATCTGTTCCAATGAAACACTTATAAAATTAAGTAGGCTTTCATAACATATGGGGAAGGAATGATCAAAACATTGTGTTACATGTTTTGGCATTTTTGGTCACCCATATTTTATCTGTTCCAATGAAACACTTATAAAATTAAGTAGGCTTTCATAACATATGGGGAAGGAATGATCAAAACATTGTGTTACATGTTTTGGCATTTTTGGTCACTCATATTTTATCTGTTCTAATGAAACACTTATAAAATTAAGTAGGCTTTCATAACATATGGGGAAGGAATGATCAAAACATTGTGTTACATGTTTTGGCATTTTTGGTCACCCATATTTTATCTGTTCCAATGAAACACTTATAAAATTAAGTAGGCTTTCATAACATATGGGGAAGGAATGATCAAAACATTGTGTTACATGTTTTGGCATTTTTTGGTCACCCATATTTTATCTGTTCCAATGAAACACTTATAAAATTAAGTAGGCTTTCATAACATATGGGAAGGGAATGATCAAAACATTGTGTTACATGTTTTGGCATTTTTGGTCACCCATATTTTATCTGTTCCAATGCAACACTTATAAAATTAAGTAGGCTTTCATAACATATGGGAAGGAATGATCAAAACATTGTGTTACATGTTTTGGCATTTTTGGTCACCCATATTTTATCTGTTCCAATGAAACACTTATAAAATTAAGTAGGCTTTCATAACATATGGGAAGGAATGATCAAAACATTGTGTTACATGTTTTGGCATTTTTGGTCACCCATATTTTATCTGTTCCAATGAAACACTTATAAAATTAAGTAGGCTTTCATAACATATGGGGAAGGAATGATCAAAAACATTGTGTTACATGTTTTGGCATTTTTGGTCACCCATATTTTATCTGTTCCAATGAAACACTTATAAAATTAAGTAGGCTTTCATAACATATGGGGAAGGAATGATCAAAAACATTGTGTTACATGTTTTGGCATTTTTGGTCACCCATATTTTATCTGTTCCAATGAAACACTTATAAAATTAAGTAGGCTTTCATAACATATGGGGAAGGAATGATCAAAACATTGTGTTACATGTTTTGGCATTTTTGGTCACCCATATTTTATCTGTTCCAATGAAACACTTATAAAATTAAGTAGGCTTTCATAACATATGGGGAAGGAATGATCAAAACATTGTGTTTCATGTTTTGGCATTTTTGGTCACCCATATTTTATCTGTTCCAATGAAACACTTATAAAATTAAGTAGGCTTTCATAACATATGGGGAAGGAATGATCAAAACATTGTGTTACATGTTTTGGCATTTTTGGTCACCCATATTTTATCTGTTCCAATGAAACACTTATAAAATTAAGTAGGCTTTCATAACATATGGGGATGGAATGATCAAAAGAAAGATAACATGTTTTGTACATTATAAAGAAGCAGACACTGGTTTTTATATATTTTAGAGAAAAGAATTGATTTTTAGTTTTTGGCAGAAGCTACCATAATTCACTACAGAGAAGGAAATCTTGACTGCATACTTATTCTTTTATGTGCTCTGTTTTCAGGACATTGGTGATCATGTTTCTCCACAACTTCCTGTCTTTTTACAATCTTCCTTTATCCCCATTCTGCAAT